TGAAAAAAATGCGAAAAAGTAATATAGGTCCACATTACCCCACTCAGTGGGCAGGGCCATCCCGAACGAATTAAATCGATCGTTATTAAATCTATTCTAATATGAAATGATATGAATGAAATTTTTTCTTATTCGGTTGTTTATTTAAACTGTTTTTTATTGGTTTCATAATTGTTTTTTTTTCAGAAAAGAATTGTTTTATTTGCACAAAGATTTGCGTATTTCATTCTCCCCAAATGTCAGGGTATAATAAAAATTTTTTTTTTAAATATTTTTATATACCGATTCTTATATATTTAAATACAGCTCAATATTCTCTTTAAAAAAAAAATTTTTTTTTAAATCATTTTTCCGAAAAAAAAAAAATATTAAAATTCTTAACTATTCCATTTGACACCATTTTACTCTATTTGGGGAGAATTTTATAGCCAAATAAAAATTTAACCGTTATTTGCTATGGAGGTTGTCAGGGACGCGTAAACAAGTAAGGTTTAGTAAAGATTGCTTTCCTAAAGTTAATTTTAAAGCTAGATTTAAAAAAAAAAAAGATTTTTAAAATATGATTCTCTAATAAATTTTAAATAACATTATTATTATTATTATTATTATTATTATTATTATAGTTGTAGCCGTAAATTTACATAGAATGTACACATACAGCGAGCAGGGGAAACACCCCACTATAAACAACCAGTTTTATAAATATTTGTTCCAAACTTTTTCCACAACCAGGAGTCTAGTCTATTTTTGAAAGAAAGTACAGTGGAGTACAAAGTTATTTGCTCTGGTAGATTGTTCCAGTATTTTGCTGATCTATTATACAAATGATTATATCTTGGAAGACAGTTTAGAACATACTCACGCCTTATTTTAGAATGGTGACCACGAGACACGGAGTTAATATATTTTGGTAGATATTTATCATTAACTATATCAAAACGATGTATTAATTTAAAAATTTGGATTAAATCGCATCGAAGGCGTCGAAACTCAAGTGATGGTAGGTTTAATCTTTTTAGCCTTTCGCAGTATTGAAGATGCCTCAAGCTGTAAGCCCATTTTGTAGCTTTGCGTTGAACAGATTCAACCAAAGCCATATCAGCTTTTAAAAAAGGAGCCTAAATGGACACTCCATATTCAAGATGTGGTCTTATAAATACTTTATATAATTTGAGAGCCATTTTTTCATCAATGAAAGTGAATGTCTTTTTCAGCATACCGAGAATTTGTAAGGACTTAGAGACAACTGTTTGAATATGAGCGCTCCACTTGAGGTTAGATGTAAAAATGACTCCTAAATCACGTTCTTTAGTAGAGCTTCTTAGAGATTGGTTGATTCCTTGGTTATTTTGAAGAAAGTAATTGTAATGGGGGTTGTTTCGACCGTAATGAATGACGCAGCATTTTGAAGTGTTTAGCTTAAGTAACCAAGTGTTTGACCACTCGTATACCAAGCGTAGACGATCCTGCAGATCAACAAAATTAGATTGCGATAAGGTTTTAGAAAAAAGTTTAGTATCATCGGCAAATATCTCAGAAGTTTCAGTGAGTTTTGCGAGATCATTTGTGTAGAGAATGAAGAGAGAATGAAGAGGAGCGGGCCGAGAACAGAACCTTGAGGAACACCACTGAGAACATCAACCCATGCAGAGCTGGTATTGTTAATTGTAACGCGTTGCTTTCTGCCCACTAAAAAAGATTTAATCCATTGTAGGAGTTTGCCGTTTATTCCGAAAGATCTTAATTTTAACAAAAGTCTGTTGTGAGGTACAGCGTCAAACGCTTTGGCAAAGTCAAGATAGATTACATCAATAAATTGGTGAGATGCTATGGAGGACGAAATGATATCAAAAGTTTCTATTAGGTTAGTTACGCATGATTTATGATAAAGGAAGCCATGTTGATTTGCAGAGAGCATTTTATTATCGTTAATGTGCTTTAAAATTTTTTTCTTTACAAGTTTTTCAAAGATTTTACAGGCAACAGATGTTAGTGAAATAGGTCTATAGTTTTCAGCAAGTAATTTATCTCCCTTTTTTTTATAGATCGGACTAATATTTGCTAGTTTCCATTGAGTGGGTACTACTCCAGAATTAAAGGATTTATGAAAGATTTTTGTTAATGGAATTGCAAAGCTTTTGGCACATATCTTGAGTATTAAGGGAAGCAGGCCGTCAGATCCGAAGGATTTATAAGGCTTTAGATCGGCAAGTTCCTGAATAATATCTGAGATAGAGAAATCCAAGTTTTCATTATAAATGCATTCAGAAAGAATACCACTATTATTTAGCAAAGGAAAATTTTCAGAGCTTTCAAGTGTAAACATAGATTTAAATTGAGAGTTCAGAAGATCAACTATATCAGGAAGAGCTTCAATAATTCTGCCTGAAGTATCTTTGAGAGAGCGAATTCTATCTTTAATTTTTAGTTGTTTGTTGATATATTTGTAAACGATTTTTGGGTTGTTTTGGGATTTTGATATTATTTCTTTTTCATGTGCTTTTTTTGCTTTAAATATTTCAGTTTTTACTGAACGATTAAGGCGATTGTATTTTATTTTAAGCTCACTATTCTCCCATTTGGTAGAGCAGTTTATATGCCAAGCGGATTTTTTTTCTCGGATCAGGTTTTTAATATGTGGGGTAACCCAAGGATCATACTTTTTTTTTGTTTTATTAATCTTGGGAATAAAATATGTGCAAGCAGCGCGATAGTTAGAAATTAGAATATTGAACATTTGATCTGCAGTTTTATGCAGGAATAAAAACTCCCAGTCGATTGATGCAATAAAGTTAGATATTGAATCGTAATCACCTTTTTTGTAATTAAACGATTGAGATTCACTTTCGGTAAACAGTTCTGAAACTAAGAACCTCCAAGTGATACTAAAATGACCCTTAGTGGTGTTACCTAGTATAGTACTAGGAGACAAGTTTAAAATAGAATTACTGTTGTAGGTAAATAACAAGTCCAACATATTATTTGAGGAACCATAATCAGTCTGGAAAGTAGAAAATGTGATATGTTGAGTAAAAAGGCTGTTTTGGAAAATATTCCAGAAATCATACTCGGTAGGATTGTTTGGGTTAAAAGATTCAATACCATCGTTAGACCACTTTATATTCGGGAAGTTAAAGTCACCGACAATCAAACAGTCATCATAGGGCTTTTTAATTAAACTATGAGCTAATTTGAAGGATTCAGCGACATATTTTATTAAACTGGCATCATTTGGTCTGTATATACAACCGATAAGTATATGTTTGTTGTTAAATTTTACAGATACCCAGACTTGTTCAAGTAGATTTGTATAAAGTTGGTTAACTTCATGAGAGTTAAATACGTCTGCAATGTAGATAGCTACACCGCCACCTCGACGTCCTTCTTGACGATCTTTACGATAGAGCCTATACCCATCGATACTTGGTACTGAGTCATTTTGAAACCATGTTTCAGAGATAGCAATAACGTGATAATCAAACGTTCTAGATATTGAAATTAAATCGGCCATTTTATTATCGAGAGATGTAGCATTAGTATAATAACAATTAACGCTATAGTTTGTTTTTTTGTTATGAAGATTTTTACTTTTGTATTTTAAGTTTGCTGGTAAAAGAGTGGAAGAAGGGTAGTAATGTTTATGTAGTGGTTTGTATATTTTTGAGTTTGACGACTCCGCTGCTTCGTATACCGTATCTAAAGGGCGATGTTTTTAAATTGATATTACTATTTAATTCATTACGCTTCATTCTTAACTGATAGTTTAAATATCTTTCAGCCTCAGTCAAATCTGGGCTTATAAAAATATTTTTATAATTATCTGAATTTTTCAATTTTTTTGCTGCTGTTAATAATGGGTTTCTTTCGGAGACATCAGAAAGTTCGACGATAATTGGTCCTGGTTTAGAGGACGTAGATTTAATACGTTTGACAGATTTTGGTTTTGCATCAGATGAAATAGTAACTAAGATATTCTGAACCGTTTCCTTATCGTCGATATGCTTATCAGCAACTGATAACTTTGCAGATTCTTTAATGCCATAAATAATAACATTTTTTTCACGCTTCTTTTTTTGCTGTTGCTCAATGGCAAATGTGTTGATAATTTTTAGTTGTTCAAAAGGCTGCTTTTTTTTATGTTTTTGCTTGCAACTGTAACCCAGCTGGATTCGATACTACTGGTTGTGGTATTAGTTAGCTCATTAGGATTTTGGATTAGCTTATCTATTATTAATTGTTGTTGCTTTATTACTTGTTCTAGTTCAGATATTTTGGCCAACCATTTCGCAGTTTCGGCATGAATAAGTTTTTTAATTGCGTCCTCGACTTGCTTTAATTGAGCTGGTGTTAAATTAGTCATCACAGATGAATTTTTTTTTTTTTTATATCAGTGATGTTTTTATGTTTATTTATTTGTTACAATTATTGCAAATTTATTTGTTACAATTATGACAAATAACTTATTACACAGGGACTAAAAAGATTCAGTATGTGTTTTTTTCCGTGTTATCATATTTATTTGTATATATTTAATTTCTTTATATTATTTGTATATGTTTATATATAACTTTTTTATATGTATTTTATATATAATATATGGATATATAATTTACTAATATAGTTTGTGTCAGAGCGCAAAAATTTAGCTTATTGTTCAGAAAACTAAAAACAAAGAACAGGTGCAAACGCAACTTTTGGCGAAAAAAAAGAAAAAAAAAAAAAAAAAAAAAAAAAAAAAAAAATTAAACAAAAAAAAATTGAAAATTTGATTTTTCTGAGGGATATACCAGCTTAACCTTAATTGCACCCCTCTAGCGCCGCCCCTGTATATTGGTCTCTATATTCGCTACAATATTCAACAAATATTTAAAACATTATATTACTAAGAATTATTTATACTTTATATATACTAAGAATTATTATTCCGTAGTAAAAAAATTTAGTTTTTAGTTTGCAACTCAACTTTGAAAAAACATATTTCTTCATAATATTTACAGAAGTAAAGAAAATAGTTAAATTCGAATGGTGAAAGTAATTTAAATAAGTGCTTTGGGTTAAAAATGGAATTTCGTTCATTCGTTTTCAGATAAAACATTCCGGTACAAAGAAGAAGAACTAGTTGGTGACACACAAAATCGAATTTTTTAAAGTTTAGTTTATAAATGTTAGAACGATTAGTACGTTCTTATTAAATTTAATGTTAACGCTTCAATTTATTATATAACTTTAATTTAATATTTTCTTTAATCGATTTTTGTACTTTGATATATATCAAAGTACAAAAATCGATTAAAGATTTTTAAAACATTTAAATTTTAACATATAATTAATTCTAGTCTTCGAAAAAAGTCATATTAAAAGAAAACTTTTCTTTTTTTAGTTAAACATTAAAATGGAAATACTCGAAGGCGAAAGAAAAAACTCAAAAATTTATTACCAAAATAGTTACTATTATCGTAAAGACAAAAAAGCTACAGAATCGTATGGCGGCGGTTTCAAATGTAAGGATGAATTTTGTAGAAGTCGTTCAACAAGTGAACCAAGCCTAGGGTTAGTACAAATAACGCCGCATAATCATTTGCCAGATTTTGAAAAAAAAGAAATTTTAAAATTAAAACAATCAAAAAAAAACTTGACGTTAAATTTGTGTTATTAAGATTGAAATATATTAACTATATTAACATTTTTGCATATACATTTAAAATGGCAGTAACACTTGTGGAAATCAAAAAAATGATAAAAGACTTGTTTACAAAATACAAAGTGGAAACAGAAGCTGCGCTAAAGCAACAAGAAAACAACTTTATAAACATCCTTAGTGCAAACACCAAAATCTTAAACGAGAGATTGGACAAAGTAGAAAAAAATATTTTAGAAAACGCAAAAAAAATATCAACACTTGCAACAGAAGTTGAAGAAATAAAAGTTAGTTTAAATTTTCATGAAGAACTCATTGTAAACAAAATTAAAACTGCGTTAGATTCTTTCATAAAAAATAAATCTACTCACAACGAAATTCAAAATAACAACATTGAACTCAAAAAAATAAACAGCAAGCTAAGAGAAATAGAAGATAGATCAAGAAGGAACAATCTAAGAGTTGAAGGAGTTAAAGAAGAAAGCTGGCTAGAAAGCGAATTAAAAGTTAAAAAAATATTTGATGAGTACTTGGACATAAATGATGTAAAAATTGAAAGAGCGCATAGAGCTGGTAAAGAAGATATAAAAAAGCACAGAACAATTGTTGTGAAATTATTGGATTTTAAAGATAAAGAAGCAATTTTAAAAAACTCTTCAAAATTAAAAGGAAAGAATATTTTTATCAATGAAGATTTTTGCGCGGAGACAAATCGAATAAGAAAAGACTTGCGAGAGAAAATGAAAATTGAAAGACAATCGGGAAAATTTGAATGTATTTCCTACGACAAACTTATTGTACGCGAGTGGAATGCAAAAAAAAAGTAACTTTTTTTTAATTTTATTTATTTGTTTACATTATATTTAAATATACGTTATATGCTAAAGTGGTATGCAATAAATTAATCACTAAGTCTTCCTAAGAGACTTTCAACATGTCGCACACTATTATTTACTGCCAAATCTAAATTATAGCAAAAATGGAAACAAATAATAATGATTTTGAAAAAATAATTAATTTATTTGAAACCCATGCATTACACTTAGACGACGAATCCGATCCGGATAATAATTATTTTAATGAAATTAATTCTCCTGAATTTGAAACCTCTTATTTTTATCCTAGTAACGTGAGCAAAATTTTAAAAAGCGAAAATAAAAGTGATTATCTTAATGCAGTCCGCTTAAAAAAGAATTTTGAAAACTTATTAAATTTTATTAGCGAAGCGAAAAGTTCTTTTAATTTAATTTGTTTAACTGAAACCACGCAGATTTTAAAAATAACTCAAATCTCCATCTCCCAGGTTTTGATCCAGTAATTTTAGAACGAAGTACAAATAAGCGAGGAGGAGGAGTTTTATTTTTGTTAAAAATGACCTTCTATATAAAGTTCGAAGCGAAATTTGTGTTTCTGATGAAAACAAAGAGATTTTAACAATAGAACTTTTCAATAAGCGTTCAAAAAATATACTAATAATCTGTTGTTACAGGCTGGAAGAATTGAAAACTTTGGCAATTTTTTACTAAATAACATAATAAAGAAAACTGATCTTGAAAAGAAAAAAAATTACTTGATCGGCGATTTCAACATAAACTCCTTTGATTATTATGAAAATCAAAGTTCGAGAAAATTTTTTAATGGCCTATTTGAAACTAGAACAATAATTAATCTTTTAATTAATTAATTAAACCTTTAATTAATCGCCCGACTAGAATCGCAAGTCATTCATCGTCATTAATTGATAACATTTTAACAACCGATTTTTTTAATAAGTCGCTAAAAAAGGGAATTATAAAAACCGATGTTTCCGATCACTTCCCGATTTTTTTTTCTATATGTGTTAATTTAAAAAAAGAGAAGCAGGGAAAGTTATTAATAAAAAAACGGCTTATCAACAATAATAATTTAAATTCTTTCAGAGAACAATTATCACATATAGATTGGGGTTATATTAACTTTAATGATAATATCAACATAATCTACGACAATTTTTTCAAAACTTTTTACCAAGTGTATGATTCCAACTTTCCTTTAATTGAAATAGTTTTAAGCGATAAAGAAATGTCATCTCCCTGGATTACTAAAGGTATCAGAAAATCATCAAAAATTAAGCAGAAGCTATACATTAAATACCTAAAATCAAAATCAGAAAAACATAAACAAAATTATAAAACTTATAAAAACTTATTTGAAAAGCTTCGCAAAAATGCAAAAAAAAAACTACTATTCAAACTTGCTTAATAAATATAAGCACAACTCAAAACGCGTCTGGCAAATCATGAAGGAGGTGTCTGGAAAACTTAAACCAAATAAAAATTTACTCCCAAATTTTATACAAATTGAAAACAAATTAATAAATGACCCAAATGATATTGCATTTGAATTTAACAAGTTTTTCTACAAAATTAAGCGATAGTATTTCATTCATTAAAGATAAATCTGTTGATGAGTTCGAAACAGCAATAAGTTCTAATCTAAATTTTACTGAGTTAGCTTTTAATGAATTTGAGGTTGCTTTTAAGTCATTAAAACGAAATAAAGCTACTGGGTATGATGATATTAACACAAATATTGTGATTGATTCATACGATGTTATAAAAGATATTCTTTATAAAATCTTCAGAGCATCCATTTCACAAGGGTCTTTTCCAGATAAACTAAAAATAGCGAAAGTAACTCCAATCTTCAAGACAGGGGATCGTACAAATATAACAAATTATCGCCCTATTTCAGTTCTTCCAGTTTTTTCAAAAATTTTAGAAAGAATAATGTACAACCGAATCTACTCTTATCTTGTTGAAAATAAAATTCTATACGAAAACCAATTTGGTTTTAAAAAAAATAATTCAACCGAGCATGCCATTCTTCAACTTACGCGCAATATAACTGACTCATTTAAAGACTCTTGTTTTACACTAGGAGTGTTTATTGATTTGTCCAAGGCATTTGATACCGTCAATCATCAAATCCTGTTAAAAAAACTAATATCATATGGTATTAAAGATAAAACCCTATTATGGTTTGAAAGTTATCTTACTAACCGTAAACAGTTTGTTTACAATAAAGATTCTATATCTCATCTATTAATGAATAAAACATGTGGTGTTCCACAAGGATCCATACTTGGTCCTCTTATTTTTTTAATATACATAAATGATCTTCATAAATCATCAAATTTAACAACAATAAATTTTGCAGATGACACAAATTTGTTTTTGTCTCATAAAGATATTAATATGCTTTTTACAAATATGACAAATGAATTAAAAAAAGTTTCTGTTTGGTTTAAACAAAATAGATTGTCTCTAAATATAGAAAAAACTAAATGGACACTTTTTATCCACCTTTAAAATACCAGAAACTGCCCCATATCATGCTAGACCTTCTAATTGATATTATAATAATAAAAAGAGAAAAAGTTACTAAATTTCTTGGAGTATATATTAATGAAAACCTATCTTGGGGAAATCATATTGATAATACCTCCAACAAAATTGCTAAATGCATCGGAATTCTCTATAAAGCAAGAAATATATTAAGTAAAAACCAGTTAACACAATTATATTATTCATTTATACATTGTCATATAAACTACGCGAATATTATATGGGGAAGCACTCACGGAACAAAGCTAAAATCTCTTTACCTTCATCAGAAACACGCAACTCGCGTAATAAATTTTAAAAATCGGTTTTTTCACACAAAACAACTTTTTAAAGAAATGAATATTTTAAATGTATATCAACTAAATGTCTTTAATATTTTATGTTTCATGTTTAAATGTAGAGAAAATTTGTCGCCAAATGTATTACAAAATTATTATTGTATGAAACCTAAAAACAAATATAATTTTCGAATTAATAACAGTCTTATTGCCCCTTTTTGTCGTAAAAGCAAAGACCGGTTTTTTGTTTCTTACCGAGGTCCTTATCTCTGGAACAAAATAGTCTTACCAAATTTTGATTTTTCAACCCAAATGACTTTTGCTTCATTCAAACAGAAACTTAAAAAAATTATATATTTAATTAAAAATATCTTGATTTATTTTTAATTGCCTTTTTTTTTGTTTTGTTTTTGTTGTTGTTTTATTTTGTATATTATTTCTATAAATATTTATTATAATTTATATATTATAGTATAAAAAAGTAGCTCTCCAGCATTTTTATAAAGTGAAATAATAAGTTTTTTCATATAAACATAGTAAACTTTTTTTTTGTTGTATTGTTGTAGGCGGGGGCTTTTTTTAGGATAGACTAAGTTAATTCTGGTATTTCTTTCAGTTTTTCTCTAGTTTCCCATATATGTTTTGAGAGAGTGGTTGCATTTAAAAGTTTCTTATTTGAAAATGATTGCTTGTGGTTTGCATACCTCTTTTTCCACACTCCTTCTAATAAACCAATGTATGCTTTGCTGGGTGGGTTTGGGGAAGATGTTATACATTTGTAAATGATGTTTGTCGCTCTACAATTTTTATTCAGCGGGCAGATTTCTTTTTGTTTGCAATTGCAATGGAGATTTTTAGTGGTGTTAATAAAATTTATTTTTTTGTTGTGGCTTTTTATAATTTTTGAAATGTTGTTTGAGCAGCTGTAGCTAATTTTTGTAGTGACTCGATTGAATAGTTTATGTAATGGGTTTGAAGGTGGGAAATGTTTATCTATTAATTGCAAAACGATTTGGCCAACATTGGTGGAGACGCTTTTATTGTAGGGTGGGTTAAACCAAATTATATTCCTTTTTCTCTTAGGAGGTGTCTTAACTTTTGGGTTGTACTTTAAGTTAAAGTTTTTAAAACCGTTTTGTTTAAGTGCTTCTTCGTATTCTGTTTTTGAAGTGTTAAATATTTTTTCATTGGAAGAATTTTGCAATAATCGATCATTAATCGAAAAAGGAATCTGCCTAAGAACTTGGGGCAGGTGGTTTGATTCGGTGTGGATGTAGAGCAGTTGGTCATTTTGTTTTTTAAAAGGTTGGTAGGAGTTTTTTTGAAGATTAAAAGTTACGTCAAAAAAATTAACACTGTTTAAATTGGTTTGAATCTTTATTTGAAATCCGATCTTTTTAAATATCTCAATTATATATTTTTTATATTTTTATATATTTTATATATATATAACATATTTCATTAATTTGATTCTTTTTTCATTTAAGTCTAATATGTTTTTTTTTTTTTTTTTTTTTTTTTTTAATATATATTTTCGTCATATTAATAATAAATTATTTACAATATATTATGTTTAAGTTAAGAGCCAAGTTATGACAAGAGCAGGCAGAAGACAAAAGTCTTATTATTAAAAAAAAAAAATCCATCATACAAAAAAAAAAAAAAAAAAAAAAAAAAAAAAAAAAAATATATATATATATATATATATATATATATATATATATATATATATATATATATATATTAGGGTGGGGCATAAAACACCTAAGTCAATAAAAAAATACAATAATAATTTTTCTGGTTCCTTTTGATATATGTATTAAAATTACATAATTTTTTTTATGGGTACCCCTATGGTTGGTCCCAGCGGTCCGAAAATACCAAAATTTCTAATTTATGTAAATAATGAGGGGGGCAGGGTCGCTTACAAATATTTCAAAGATATTTTAAGTGTTATTTTAGTAGCCTTATATATTTAATTTTAGATTATGTTTTGTTTTATTGCAAAAGATGACGGAAATAGTCAGCCCTACCCATTTAAATACATGCTGTGTACATTTGAGAAGCGAGGGGGGGGGGAAGGTTAAGTTAAAAAAATCTGCAATTTTTAAAATTTTTATTTTAGTATAAATTAAAATAATGCCAACAAGCAATAGATT